AAAAAAAAAAAAAAAAAAGAGAATATTATTGTAATGAAAACATATGAAAGATGTGTTATTTAGGGGGAAGACGTCTCTGATTTTGATAGAAGAGCCTTTGTATTTTCTTTTAAAAAATTAAAACTTGTGTCTTAGATGTGGTCAAAGGTGAGAAGGTCAAGCCAGTATTTGAGGAACCACCTAACCCCACAAATGTGGAAATGAGTCTGCAGCAGATGAAAGCCAATGATCCCAGCCTGCAGGAAGTCAACCTCAACAACATTAAGGTATTTCATTACAACCGTGACTCTTTCTTTTTTTTGAGACTGAGTCTTCCTCTGTTACCCTGGCTAGAGTGCTGTAGAGTCATCATAGCTCACAGCAACCTCCAACTTTTAGCTCACGTGATCCTTTTGCCTCAGCCTCCTAAGTCCTGAGGACTACAGGCACCTACCATGGCTAGTTTTTTCTACTTTTTGTAGAGATGGGGTTTCACTCTTGCTCAGGTTGGTCTTGAACTGCTGAACTTAAGCATTCCACCTTGGCCTCCCAGAGTGCTGAGATTACAGGCATGAACCACCAAGCCCCATTAAAACAGTGTTTTTTTAGATTTCTTTGAAAAGAATTAAGGGTTAAACATAGTACATTTGTCATAACTATTACTGGATAACAAATTTCTCCAAAACTAAGAGGCTTCAAATAAAAATCATTTACTATTTCATACATTTTTTGAGTAGCTTAGCTGAATAGTTGTGGGTCAGGGTCTCAACTTATGATGTAGTAAAGCTGCAATGTCAGGCTTGACTGGGCAGGAGGACCACTGTGAAGACAGCACAGTTGTGGCTGCTAGCAAGAGACTTCAGTTTCTTACCACGTGGGCCCCTTCATAGGGCTGCCTGAGTGTCCTCACATCATGACAGCTGGTTTCCCCCAGAGCGAGTGATCAAGAGAGAAAGCAGGAAGCCATATACCTTTTATGACCTGGTCTCTGAAGTCATATATCATCACTTCCAATAACTCATGCCACTCTCAAAGGCAGGGGGCCAGTGTATATGTGTGAACATTGCCTGAGGTCTGTTTTCTTGGTTCTTACTTGACCAGTTCTAAGCATGTAATAATAGTAACTGACTGTTATTGAGTACTTGCTATGTGTCGTAGCCTTTGCTAAATACTTGAAATTTATTATCTCATTTAGTCCTTAGTAGAATTTAAAGAGGTTAAATTGCTAAGGTCACAGAGCTAGTCTGTAGTGCAACTAGGACTCTTCTCTAGCCATACCCTATATTGTCTCCGTCCTCATGGGTCAGTAGGTGCTAAGTGCTATATAAGAGGAAGCACAAAGATGAGTAAAATCCGTTCAGTCTTCACTCTAAACAGGTTGTAGTAGGAGAAAAACACTAAACAGATCATTGCAACATGATGTAGGAATCCCCCAAATGTTATGGAACTACAAGGAGAAAAAAATTAAATGCTGCCTAGGAGAGCAAATAAACGAAGGAGGTGATATGTCAGCTGGGTCTTGAAAGATGAATAGGAATTAGTTGAAGAAAAGAACAAAAGGAATTTTCAAGTAAAAGGAAAGCATATATATAAAGGCGAGGAAAACAGAAAGACCATGGTATATTAAAAGAATGGCAGGTAGGTCAGAACAGCTAGAATAGGGAGATTAGAAGAGAAAAAGGGGGAAGTTTAGCATGTGCATAATTTCTTAGGAAGAAAAGGCAACATCAGAATGTACCATTGTCTTAGATGGTTGTGAACACTAAGTGGTGCTGTCAGCTCAGAGTGGCTGGTTGATAATGACCCTTTTAGGAGGATTATCATGTAATTAGCCATGTAGACATGTCTGGTATTTAAAAGTTGTGGGTTCTTAACTTGAGGTGAGTTTGCTGTGGAATGGATCGCCAACTAGCCCTGTTTTCTCTGTCTTAGAACATTCCAATTCCAACTCTGAAGGAATTTGCAAAGGCTTTGGAGACTAATACTCATGTAAAAAAGTTCAGCCTGGCTGCAACCCGCAGCAATGACCCTGTGGCCATTGTGAGTAAAATTTTAGAAATATAACATGACTTATTTAATTCATAAGAGACTCTTTAATTCTTTTTATTAACAATTTTTAGATGTGGGAATTTTATGTTCTATAGAGTTAATAAGCAAAATTATAGTTGCAATGTTTAATTAAAACTTAAGAATCCAACTGTTAGGCACTTTCAACTGGAATTTTCTCAGCCCTATACTTTTTAGAGAAAGAAACACGTTTGGCATTTAACTAAAAATTTACGGTGTGTTCTGTTTGGTACAAATTTTCTGAAACTTGGCATCTATAGTAATATTCTGTTATAGTCATTGGATAGTAGGCCCTAAAATCCTGTAGAAACTTGGTGTCTAAAAACATATAAAAGTATATTTTACTTTAAACTTTGTAATGGATTAATATATATCTCAAATATTTTAAACAATCTAATCTTGAAATGTTTGTTTGATAATCTGTTAACCAGAATATGATAAAAGCCAACCAAAAGCTCTATTTCTTCTATTCACTTTATTTTATTTTTTGAGACAGAGTCTTACTCTTTCTCCCTGGGTAGAGTGTCATGGCATCATAGCTCATAGCAACCTCACACTCCTGAATTCGAGTGGTCCTCTTGCCTCAGCCTCCTGAGTAGCTGGGACTACAGGCACCTAACACAAAGCCCACCTAGTTCTTCTATTTTTAGTAGAGACAATGTCTCGCTGTTGCTCAGGCTGGTCTCAAACTCATGAGCTTCAAGCAGTCTACCCACCTTGACCTCCCACAGTACTAGAATAATAGGCTGGTCCCCTCTATTCATTTTAGATAATTCAGCCAAATAAGGAAGCCCCTTGATTAAAGTGACCAGACATCCTCCTTTTGGCAGGACAGTCCCGATTTTTAACAATTTGTCCTGCGTCCCACGGCATTTTAAAAAAGTCCCAATTTTTAGAAAGAATGCATGACAAGCTAGGGAATGGTGGGAGAACGGGATACACGGTTTTTGGCTACCATGTGGCTATTTCGCCAGGATATGAGTTTTAGATTATTTTTATTATTTTTATAATGTTAAACTTTAATAATAACAAATAATTGTTGAGAACTGCTTATCAAAGTTTGCATTGTTGATCAGTTGTTAGAATTTGATGAGAAATATGCCAAAGAATAAAATAATACTATACATAATTTTTAATGTATTATATTTGTAAATTGTACTTATGTTGAAATTTTAAAAAGTATATTACAATACTATTTTTGCATTCTGTGAAAATTTTTGTTGCTCCATATAGACCAGATTTTTAATTAAGAATCCTCCCCCCCTTTCAATGGTGTCCCACTTTACCAATGTTAAAATCTGGTCACCTTACCCTTGATCCAAGTAAATACTTCAACCATCACTGTCATCATTTTTATTCCTCCTATTAATAGCTAATTAGTTATTCTTACTATTATTTCCTCCTGTTAATAGCTAATTTCTTGAGGAATTAGTAAATGCCCTTATTAATCTTCGTGCTTTATACACATCATCTCACTTAATCATTACTATAACACTATGAGGTATATTCTATTATTAGTTAATACTTTAACAAATGAGCAAACTGAACTCAGAAAGGTTAAGGAAATTGTTTGAGGTAATAAGACAAGTAAGTGGCAGAGCCAGGAGTTACCACCAGGTCTTTCTGGTTCCACAACCAGAATGCTTAACCATCCAGCTGTGCTATATTTATACAAAATGCCTCACTGTCAAATCATTGGCTAAAATATGTCCTATTTCTAGAGCTTGGGCATCACCCTGTAGCTCTGTAGCATCTAATGCCCAGCCCTTACATCACGCTAAAGAAACAAAAGTTGTCCTGATTTGATGCTTTGATTTATAGTAATAAGTCCTTTGAAAGATCTAAAATAGCATTTAAAACAGATGACATAAAAGTAATGACTACCTATTATGGTCCTGCCACAGAATAGGTGTTTGAAAAGTAGTTGTTAAATGAATGAAAGATCATGACCTTCAGCCTCTCAGCAGGAGGGAATATTTCCATGATAACAACAGCAAACTTGAGATAAATACTAATGTAAAAGAGGGCCCACGCTACAAAATTAGTGTTTTCACCAGTGATTATTACACACCTAAATTTGTAGGTTGAAAGCAGTTTTAAATTCGAAACTTATCATTAAAATAGAAAAAAATCATAGAACTAAACCATTGGTAAGGTGAAATAAGCAATTTAAGGATTCTTACCTGTATATGATTTTGTTCTGTCTCTGCTCTTTGGTAGATTTGTTTTCAATAAAGCAAAAATATTCACAATATACTTTGTATGTAAGTGAATAAAGGGATGAACAAAGAAATGATTTGTCACTTCAGTTTAATATGTTACTTTCAGTAAAACTGGAGGTTTAGGCATAGTGTATAGTCCATTGTCAACAGAATACTGGTAAATAACCTAACTTCTATTTTAGGTCAAATAGATAACTTGCCACAGGGACTAAATTCCAACTGTAATAATCTTTTTGATGCTATTTTTAATGCAACAATTATATGTTGAGTGCCTATGACAAGCACTGCACTTGGAGCTAAGATTTTTTGGTAACATTTTTAAGAAAAATTTTTTAAAATTTCTGAATATTAAGGGGTACACACATGTTGTTTACTTTGTTTTTATACATGTTGAGTCAAAGTTATACACAATTAAACCTCCTTTGTATCATGCTTTTTAAAAAGTAACTTATTTCTGAGGAGTATGCAGGGAACAGGAAGTGCTTGTACACGGTAGGTGGGAATGTAAAATACCACAGCCATTGTGGAAAACAGTATGGCGTTTACTCAAAGAACTAGCAGTAGAATAAGGTGACCAGACGTCCCGCTTTTGGTGGGACAGTCCTGATTTTTAACAATTTGTCCCATATCCCACAGCATTTTTAAAAAGTCCCAATTTTTGGAAAGAATGCACGACAAGCTAGGGAACACAGAAGAACAGGAAGGGAATATATGGTTTTCAGCTGCCATGTGGCTATTTCGCCAGGATATGAGTTTTATATTATTTTTGTTAATTTTATAATGTTAAACTTTAATAATAACAAATAATTGTTGAGAACTGATTGTCGAGAACTGCTTATCAAAGTTTGCATTGTTGTCAGGTCCCACCTCCCAGGCCCTGCCACCCCCCAGCCCCCCCTCCCAATGGGGTCCCACTTTACCAATGTTAAAATCTGGTCACCTTACAGTAGAACTATCTTATGATCCAGCAATCTCACTTCTGGGGATATATCCAAAAGAAAGAAAATTAGTCAACCAAAGAGACATATAGATATGCATGTTTATGGCATCCATTATTCAAAATAACCAAGATATGGAAATGTCCTTCAACAGGTGACTGGATAAAGAAAATGTATATATGCACAATGGGATACCACTCAGGCATAAAAAAGAATGAAATCTTGTCATTTGCAGCAATATGGATAGACCTGGAGGTCATTATATTAAGTGCAACAAATTAGGCCCAGAAAGAAAAATATCACATATTCTAACTCATATGTGGGAAATGTAATGAAGAAGTCGATCTCATGGAGGTCGAGAGTGGAATGGTAGTTACCAGAGGCTGGGAAAGGAGAGGGGCAGGGAAGGATGAAGAGAAGTTCATGAAGGGGCACAAAATACAATGGGATAGAAAGAATAAGTTCTAGTTTTCAGTAGTACAGTAGGGAAATTATTGTTAACTGTAATTAGTATATATTTAAAAATAGAAAAAAAAAAAAGAACTGTGATACTCCCTACACAAAAGATAAATGTTTGGTTTGAAGTGATGGATATCCCAGTTACGTGATATGGTCATTATATATTATGTACAATTATCAAAATATCACATGTACCCTAAATTTTAAAATGTATTGGTATAGTCACAGTACAGTCTATAAAATAGAAGGACTTCAGGAAATATATATATTCATCCATTCTTTTATATGGGTAGAGTTTTCAAAATATGATTTTATTTTATTTTATTTTATTATGTTTTTCAGACACTAGGTCTTGCTCTATTGCCCGGGCTAGAGTGCAGTGGCATGATCAAGCTCACTGCAACCTCAGACTCCTGGGCTCAGGCAATCCTCCTGCCTCAGCCTCCTGAGTGGCTGGGACTATGGCACCATGCCACCATGCTGGCTACTTTTTTATTTTATTGTAGAGACAGGGTCTTTACAGAGTCTGCTATGTTGCCCAGGGTGGTCTTAAACTCCTGACCTCAAGTGATCCTACTGCCTCAGCCTCCCCAAGTGCTAGGATTATAGGCATGAGCTACCACAATGGCCCTCAAAATATGATTTTACTACTGATTTGTAAAGACTGTTATTTCTTTTGGAGATTTTTCACTTTTCCTTCATTCCAACTCTGATGGATGTGTGTGTCATACCACCCTCCTGTCTTCTCTCCTCCTCACTTTTGCCCAAGGGTAAGCAGAGCAAAGAGAAGTGGAACCAAGGGAAAGAAATGAGGGGTTGTTTATTTATTTATTTATTTATTTTTGAGACAGAGCCTCAAGCTATTTCCCTGGGTAGAGTGCTGTGGCATCACAGCTCACAGCAACCTCCAACTCCTGGGCTCAAGCAAGTCTCCTGCCTCTGCCTCCCAAGTAGCTGGGACCACAGGCGC